AAGAGAAAAAAAAACACAGGAACGAAAAAGAGAGGGAGACAGAGGAGGGGTTGCTATGGTAACGGAAATATGGCTGCTCTTCAAAAACCTTGAATGTAGGTGGTGGTGAGACGAGTGTGTGTGTTTTTTTTTTTTTTTCCCTCCTCGTCTTTCCCTTTCAGTTGTGCAGATATTATGGATGTGCTGGATCCCTTTTGATTTCACTGAGGACTGAAATGCCATCAGCTTTTCTTTCTTCCTTTTTTTTTTTGGTGCGGCCTGAGGGTGGTGAACATAGGGAGGCTAGTGTGAAATGTGGGTTAGGCCCAGCAAGACCCCCCCAGCAGGTGGGGGTTTATTTGGCAATCATTGTAGGTCTCGAAAAGCTTTAAAAAAAAAACGTGCATTTTACTCAATGCAGAGATTGTGATTTTCTCTCACTGAAATCAAGAAGGTCTGGGTGAACAGAAGCTGAACAAATGTTAAAAGTGTGCATCTTTAATCCGAGGCCTTTTCTCGGGCTCCTTACCGCATGTGTAGATCTGAAAACGTGACACCACTTGAAATATTGCGACGATCTTACAGCCAGATATGGACTCACTGGAGGAATGCAGCTTTTTGACAACGACCCCTGCTGTCACCTTTTAGCAGAGGCAGTTCAGTGTTAGATCCTGAATGTAGGGCAAGTTGTCTTAATCGTCTTCATTAAATTAACTTGTATCCCACCTCCCACCCCACCCCACTTATCTCTCCTCTTCTCCCTGGAAACGGTTTTGATTCGTTCTCTTCCCAAAACTGTGTGACAACATCCTGACGCAGGACAAAGACGCTTTGACATATTAGCAGTCGTAACCAGTTTAGTTAATCCACTTGGAATTTCAGTAGATAGATTTCATAACATGTAAAGCTCGCTCAGATGGACATCCCATGTTAATCGAGTTTTGAGAGAAGTATTACTTTGGCTTCATTTGCAGCTTAAAACCTTGGCCAGGGTTTGGCGGCTTTGCCTCGCTTATTGATTAACAGAAATGAATGAACACTAATTAACAGATACAGTCTGCAGCATGTTCTTGGATCTCTTCGACTGCCATCAAGTTTTTTGGTCATTTCTGCCTTTCATGGGGCATCTGTCTCGAATCACAGATTTGGCTTGTTGTCATCGTCTTGGCACAAACGAGGAGCCTGACTTTAAAATGATTCCTCTGCTAATTGGAGGGGACGGGGACTAGTGCCTAATAGGAAGTGGGTAATAAAATCCTTATCGCAGTTTACGTCATTTTAATTATAATAAATGTTCTAGAAAATCTGTTAAACAACCAGAAAGGTATGCCAGTTTTTAGTTAATCCAGCAAATGACCTAACATGTCACGGCACTGTATCACATTAGAAGCTGTATTTATGCTATACATACTGTTTATGAAACCTTTGATGTACAAAAGTATTGCACTGCTTTATCTGTTCATACGTATAAACACACAAAGAGTAGCCAAAGTAAATTAAAGAGCTGTAGAACATCACCTGTACTGCATAGTTGACTGCAAGTGGAAAATGTCCAAGTACTTGACAGTATAGGTTTATGAAGACTTTATGAAGACTCTCTGAACTCGATCTAATTCTGTGAGGCTTTAAAGTCCACTCTTTACTCTCCTACCATGTTTTATCATCGATGAATGAATGTAATGTTGTTGTACTAAAATCAAAATTACATCTCAATCTCGAACTTCGAACTCAAAGGTAGAATCGACGATGCAGCCACACCCCCAATGTCACGTCCAGAACGTACGCCAAGACGCAGAAACACACACACACCTGCTGACCTGCGGCGTCCTCTAATTTTAGGCTGCAGCCAGTTAAAA